TTAAGAGGTTTTGTTTTGTTGTTTATAGTCAGTGAAACAACAGAAGAAGATGTAGAAGCTTTTGTCAACTGTTTAACAGAAAATTTGGTAAGTAATTAACCATTTGTTTGGACACAACTCTTTATGAATTATTTTTCTTAAATTTCGATTTTTATAAAACAAAGAGTTAAAAACGTATATATTTTCTTAATTTACTTTTATAATCACTCAAACTAGGAGTCACTGTTTATTACTAGTGAGTTTATCACAGGTATGTTGTTTACAGTACAAATACTTCAGCAATTGTTTGCCGAGAAACTTGAAAATTTGTCATGTTGAATTCTGAAATGGATAATGTGACATAATTCAGTTTAGTTATTTTGCTATTGCAGACTGCACAGAAAAATGTAGAAATCAAAATTAGTCAAATCGAAATCATGAGTTTTCTGATTCTGTATCATATCTTGTTTTATAATCATCAAAATATCATGCTTTTACTAAATGAATTGTGTAATTTTTGTAGGCAGTATTAGATGCCACAGTGGCTCAGAGATCTCGATTCCGTTCTGTTGTAGAGAGCAATCCTAATTTAATATTAGTTCAGTTAGATTCATGGGCTGGACTAGGAGCTGTAAGGTAAGGAATATGTAACAAGCACTTTTCCTTGGTTCCAATTCTGTTTTGGTTTAAAGTGACCTACGCAATTTTTCTTTGAACAATGTAAATTGTGTGATGCTACCAAAACATTGAACTAATATGGATGATTTTGTTTTCATCAGGCAAAAAATCTGCCATTAGCATCAGGTTTTAAACCAGCTTTCAAATCACTTACAAGTATGTTCTGGACAACAATCAAGAATTTGTGCGTTTTTAGGTATATACCAGATCATTGGTTGAATAAAGAAGAAACTGATAGAGCTAAAGTTGATATTAGTAATATTAATAGTGAATTGGTACATAAATTAAAATCTATGGATACAGCCTTCTCTACAGGTAAATATAATATAACACTATATCAATAACTATAAAAATATCTACACAAGGGACCTTATGCAGAGTATTAACTGCATATTATTGTGGTTTTTGGGTTTTCGGATTTTATTCTTCTGTACAAAATGACCTATGATGCCATAACACAAAGTGGAAAATTTTGATTAACATAGTCTTAAAAATTTCTTAGTCTTAAGGTTCTCTTTTTACCAAACAAGGCAAAGTGGACTTTTTTGTATGGTGTCTACAATCTCAATCTTAATCATTTTAATGATTTTGTCACCATGTATACATTAAATGTATGATATAGAAATTTCATTATAAGTATTATGGCTTTTAGAGGTATATATCAGTAGAAGTATCGCAATAATGACATTGACCTATTCTAGACTAAAGTTATTTTACACTGTGTGGGTGTTACTTTCTTACAAGATATATTATTTCAATAATGGACTAGGTATAATTATATTTGATATTGATGTACTCTATAATTGATATAATAAGACTCATAACTAAGTTACAAGGTAGCCATATATATATTCAGTACAAATTGATATTATATAAAATAATGTTATAAAATTAAAGCTGGATGGTGCTCAGTTGGGAAGGCAAAGCAGGGCACTATTTCAAAATGCCTTATGGTACTCTGCGATAGGGTTTGTCAACTCCTCATCCCTTTCAAAGAGTCCACTTAGCTAATAATGTTTATTAAGTATATCTATGTCTTTCTATCTGAAAGCTTCTTAGCTCAAAAGCTAGTCAAATTGCTGGTACAGTAGGTAGCAATTGATTGATAGAAAAACATATGTAAATGATAAATCATATGTTACTGTATATTTTAGGTCATTGTGATGATAACAGGGTATGTGTAAGGTTTGGTTTAATAACATCTAATACTGACGTAGAAGAACTAATAGCTCTAGTTCAATCTACTGGTAAAGAAATAGAAGAATCCTCAAAGGTATTTTTAGACTTGTAATTCTTATTTGTTAGTTGTAAACAAACGAAATTTTGAAACTTCATTCTGAAAAGTGATTAAAAGGTCTTGTACTTTGTAAATCTGTCTTCAGATGACCACATGATCCCTTTCACAATGTTTGAATTGCTTACTTCGTCTCAGGCTACTCTTTGAGACAAACTTGATTTCCTAAGAATGTATACAATGTTTATATTTAATGATTCATATAAAACATTATATTAACAGTGGTTTGATATATTTTCAGTATTTAGAATCTTTATCGGAAATTATTAAGAAGAATATAGAAACAGCTAATCAAGAATTACAGAAAGAAAATGAAAGTAAATTGTTACAAGAGGTAAAAGGGTCTATTTTGATTGGCTTTGACAGAAAATCTGAGCTACCATTTTATCCTTTGTAGGTGTTTACACTAGCCATTGATGGTCAAATTCTGACTGTTATACCATATCATCCAGATTTAATCAGTTCAGTTAAAAACAAATCTGAACAAAATTAATGAATTTGAGAGCAGCAATTGGCTCGTATTAAAGCAGATCTCTTAGAAATGACATGCATCCTACAGGCTACACCTTCAACATGGTCTATTGTATTTTTCAGGGTGTTATGAGACAAGTTCCACTTGTAGGCTCGTTAATTAATTGGTTGTCACCTACTAAAGAAACAACTAAAGGCAGAACCTTTAATCTTACATCAGGTAAACTATTTACTGTGGGTTAATGGGGCTTTGATTATGTCTCAGGAAATAGCTGTCATAGTTGCCAAGGTTACTGATGTACCTTTGCAGATGTCAGAAGTTAATGGCTATCATTTGATGAATGAAGCAAATTGACCCATCATTGTTTAAGATTCTATCATAATTGCCCATCCTGTTCATATATTGATAAGGTTCTCCTGCAGATATATCTTTCAAATAGTTTTTCAATATATTTTCAGTTGATTAGATATCTCAACTGTACATAGAGCATTTACTTCATTGTACATTGCAGTTGCATCAATTATTGATCAATAGCTCAATAAGTGATTTATATTGAGTTTTTTTATTTTCAGGAACAATTGAGAGTACAGAACCTATTTACAAATATCATATGCAAATTCAACCTAATGCATCAAAGCCAAGTTCACCCAAACCCCAATCGTCCCCTAAACCATCCACATCACCATCATCACTAGCTACACCTTTACCCTCATCACCATCACCAACAACATCACCAGCAACATCACCTGTAGAGAAAACAGCGGGTGACGTTAAAGCTGGTATTATAAACCAGACAGAAGATACTTCTAAATCTCCTAAACCCAGTGAGAAGCCAGCAGATTCAACTGGTCCAGCCACTTCTCCAGTAGAAGCTTTAAAAGCTACAGAAGCTGGAGAATCAGTGAAGGGGTAAGTTTTACTTTTTACAAATATTTGATTGCTATATTATTATGTGAAGTAATAACATTAGAACTAGTATTTTGAATCAATATGAAATACACACCTTATCCTGTTTTTGAATAAATTTTCAATCAACTTAAGTATCATACTAGTATTTTAATTAAAACATCCACAAGTTTAATCGGAGTTAATAAACTTGTCTTAGTTGTTATTTATTTACTATTCATTGATACAGTAAAGTCAACCTCTTAATCTTTATGACAACTTTACCATTTTGTTGATCTCATATCATTCTGCTTTTAATGAAATGAATGTTTTATATTTGACAGGACTGATAACATAGAGAAGGTGGTACAGGCTGAACAATGAGGTGTTTTAGAATTCTATTTATAATTGTGATTTATTGTTGTATTAATTTGTATATTTGTTTACCATGCCATTCCATCCTATAGGTTTCCACACACAACAATGATCTAGTAAATATTATTTGCTGTATATGCTATACCATGCACCCTTTGTTACCCTTTTTTTATTAGACATTTACCATAACTATTGAACATAAACTTCACAATTTGGTCCTTCCACAGAACCATGGTACTGTCTAACAGACATGGGGTCAAAAATATTTGCAGTGGGGTCAAAAATAGTTGCAGTGTTTCAATGTATTTTTCAAGGCTAAGCTTAAAAACAAAATGGAATTCTTAATATCTAATGTTGGTCTTTCCATGTTGATTAAGCCATTAGAAGTCAAATTGCGTTTTGAAGCTATGATATGAACTAATTATATCACTGTTCAATGAGCAAAGCCTACTCTAGAATAAGCTATTCAAGCACATGTTGTGTTTAAAAAGAGGTCTGGTTGTTCAGAAACCAGAGAATGGTAACGGTAACTGTAAAATTCTGATCAAGTTCACTTTTCTCTGATAAAATTGAACCGAGCCATTTTGATCAAAAACAAGTGCAATGTAGATGAGATTATTGAAGGTTATATTAGTTTTATTGCTTTGTCTAAATCCAGTTTCTGTCCCTAGGCAAATAAAAACTGTGTGTGGGAAGTTTGTTTGTTAAAAATTTCTAGTGGGTTACTATCATTACATAAAATTTCTAGTGGGTTACTATCATTATATAAAATTGCTAGTGGGTTACTATCATTTAAAATTTCCATAGGGTTACTATCATTATATAAAATTTCCAGTGAGTTACTATCATATAAAATTTTCTAGTGGGTTACCAGTGGGTTATTACCACTACTATCATTTAAAATTTCCAGAGGTGGTATTGTAAATTGCTACTTTAAGATAATAGATGAAATCCAGACTATATGCACCAAATGACATTTAGACTAAATTCATTAACCTATGAATCTGTACTTGAAACACACTCTATTACTTCTCAAGCTTAAAACACACTCTATTACTCCTAAAGGTTTCGCAAACTACAAAAACAAACAGATAACATCTATATCAGGCCAGTAGGTTGGAGTAACCAGGTATATATTGAATTTGTAAATATTGTGGGTTATAGATCTATGTACCTTATATAAAACTATATATATAGAAAATTGAATTTAATATGCACAATTTGAATTAGTTTCCAGTTCAGAATTTAATATTTTTGTAGATGTTTTGTGTTAAAATTTGAGTGATGGCTCATAAAATATTCTGATGGGATCAGATAATTTTTGTGATGGCAATATGTGCTTATTTTATTGAAATCCAGAATAGAAGAAAAAAAACTTGTTAAATATCACAGGAAAAATATATACTGAGTGTAAACCTAGTAATTCTTCTTAAAATTAAACACAAAGAAGAAGAGAGTTTCCTTTGAGTTGAGAACCAATCTTGGGCTTTCTTTATTTGAAAATTCCCTGTATAATGATATAGATCTTAGTATTTCACGACTGTTAAGTATTTTGTTATAGTTTTTATATTATAAGTTATGTTATTAAGAGTTTTATTAGAATTTATATTTATAATGTTATAACCTTATTTAACATTCTCATTTCCAAGTGTAAAATGAGCCAATAACACTATATAATAAAATTTGTCAGCCATCTGTTAGCTACTATTACCTTTATTTGTGTTTGCACTGCATTTGTATAGATTTCTTCACAGGATCACTAAAATACTGCAAAAATTGTAATAATATTAACTATATCAATAAAACATGTTGTCGAAGGCTTTATGAATAACATTCCTGGACTCTTTCAGTTTATAATACATGTAAGTGCAACTCTCTTATTGCAAAAAAAAATTCTTTTTTTTTATATGCAATGATCTCAGAAAAGTTTATGCAAAACTGCTAAAAAAAATAGCAAAATGAAGTTTTTTCTGTGGAATGAAAAGTGAAATTTCACATTTGCATTTTATATTTTCAATGATTATTTTTATGAACTTTTATTAAACAGATTCTTTTTACTTCAATGTGACATATATCAATTTCTTATTGTCTTTTCATTTTCAATTTTTACAAAAACCTTTAACTGGTTGATATTATGAGGAAACATTATTCTAAACTAAAGACTGCAAGAAATCCAACATAATGGTATTAGATTCCTGGGTTTATAATAGAGATATTAAATTTCATTTTGTGACCATAAAAAACAGGGTACAAATATAGATTTAATATTAATTTCCTTTTTTTAATGATCCAATTTAGATATTTTAAATTGATTTGGAAATTGAAATTATTTAGTTATTTCTTCCTTTTTCATTCCAAACTTTAAAAAAAATTAATTTCTTGCATCCAAATCTTCTGTTTAGTTTTTATTTATTATAAATCCAATATTTATTATGTACAGTTCTTTGTTAATTTTGTGTAGATTGTTATATATTTATTGACAATATAGGGAGACTATTTTATAAGTGTTTTTATTATGTTGAGGGATGTATGAATTCTAGGTCAGCAATTTGTTACAATGTGGCTATCTTTGACAATAAAATTGGAAGTTAATTGCCTTATTTCTTTATTAAATACAGTGATATCAAACAATAGTCCAGTCTTTACAATCTAATTAAATTTAATTAGAATTTTTCTGTGGGTTACTAAACTCACCATTCCTAGTCTGACAAAAATTTCTTTTTTTTTGGCCCAATTCTAGCTTCTAAGGCCTTCTTAATTAGCCCAATGAGATGTAGAAAAGGAGTAAAAAAACATTTGTCTCATTAATTTCTTTCAAGTAACTTTACAAAAAGCATTTAACCACATTATTTCTTCTACAGTTGAAAGACCAAGGGTGAATGACATCTTTACAGGAATTGTTATATCTGAGTTATTGATATATCTTTATTTCATATATCATCTAAAATTGTGATTGCATTATGTCAGTGTCACTTAGAAAGGACATTTAATAGGAAATCATCTTATGTTATTAGTAGAATTATATAAAATGATGTAATTTTAAATGCTCACACAACATTAAAAGAAAACCTGTTGTAGAAAAAACTAAGTACGGTAGTCCTGAAGTCCAACATGTTTCAAGAGCACAATGGACCTCTTCTTCAGGGACAGACACACATGAAATGTTTAATGGTGTCACTTTCCTCAATTGACACTTTCCTTGGTTGTTGCTAATTAACATTCCAACATTCTTCTCAAGGTAGTAATCCAATATGGCTCCAAATGATGAAGTGTCTTGGCTATTTTTTTTTTATTGAATGATAACCCATGTGTTGTGCTATAGAGTATCCACATTATTTTGATCAACTAAAAATGGACCAGTAAAAACTTTGTGAAATGGTTTGTGTGTCTTCTATTTTATTGAACACATAAAATGTGGAGCATATACTGTCATCACCCACTTATCACTCACAAATAAAGGAAGGAACCTGATGTACCATAACATATCGAACATATAAAACAAAATATCAGAAATCATGAAATATATTTTATTTGAAGTGAAGATAACAATCTCTGAGTCAGAATACTTACATAAATAATAAACAAATATTATGACTTAAATATTCAAATAAAACATGACCAGCATGCATCAGTCAATATTTTATATGACCGATCAGCACAGGTGGATGGTTCCAAAAGACTTGAAAAAATAACTATAAATATAATAATAACATCATTATGCAAATTCTTTTCATTGCATGTAAAGGTGTTTTTCTATACTGTTTTTTTTTCTAAGGTTCCAGTAGATACTATCTATGAAATACCAGATAAATTACCTTTTGTGTTCAAGGCTTCTCACTTTCAAACTATGATACAGCACAGTGATGTGCTAAAAAGGCTACAAAAAATTATAGTTGAGTTTAGTGATTAAAAACATCTTGAACTGTATCCTTATGCTGCAATTTTTTATTTTGTTTTTTGCTTTTTAGAGCCCATCTTATGCTTGAACTTTTAATAAACAAAAAATATAATTTTCCCTTTAAATCTAAACATGCAATGAAATAATTCTAATATTATATATTTAAATAAAGCATGCAATCTGCTCATGTATATTAGTTTAAAGTTTAGTAGTTAAATGAACATGCAATTTGTTTTTTTACCAAAAATAAAATGAGAAAAGCACCCAGAATTTGATTTGTTTAATTTCATGATCTATTGTTTTTTCAAATGACTTCCTCATTGTCACATCAGCCTTGTTCTTATTTTCCAAAAAATCGCTTGATATAAATTTGCCACATGTGGCGTATATTACACCAAAGATACAACACTTCTGACAACAGAAGAGCTCAAGAATTTTTGAGAAACATGAGACAGGTACTTAAAACAATAAAGCAGTATTCATTCACACCAAACTATTACACTTACTAGCCTCAGCGAAAAAAAAACCCCTTATGTGTCCGATAACAGAACAAGTAACTTAAAAATCCTTTGTTATAACATTTATTTAGAGAAAGCATTTAAAATCATGATTAGAGTCAAAAAAGTTCATAAACATCATGTGTAACATCAATAAAGAGCTTTTTATAACTTTTTTTTAAAAATTTAAGTGATATTATAACATATAATAAAATTTCAATGTAAATATTGCACTGCAATAATGTAACAATAATGTAGGTGTCAACTAACCAAAAACCATGAAATTGTAATCACTGATGTTGTTGCATATTTACAAACTATTAATATTGCTCAAACATTAGTCAAATACCTTGACTTTTCACAACAATTTGATGCATAAGTGGGGATGGAAATTGTGAAAAAATATTTTCTATTTTTCTTTGCATTCAAAAACACTTTTGGTGTATTTATCTGAGTGAGCATCTTGTATGTAGATCTATAATCTCAGAAAATTGTGATAAGAGAAAGAACAAATTGTGCTTAATGTAAATAAAGCTGTAATGCTGTGACAGGAAAAATTTTTGGCTGATAATAGCAGCAGCACATTTTGGCTCTATAAACCAATGTTACAATCTGTAATAATGGTCCTTGTATCACATATAAGTAACAACTCCAATAGTTCTATTATATAAAAATATATCTCATCACAGTGTCTACTTCATTGCCAAACCTATAAACAATAACAATTTTAACTATAAATGTCCAAGCAAAATTAAAAATTTTTTGTCACAATGCAAGTCTTGAGTAAATTCTATATGTTTACTTGCTTCCATGACAAGATAATCGCATGAACGACAGGATCTATAACATACATAATCAGATGAGTCAAATCAAATTTCTTAAGATAGAGTTCCAGTACAATAGCTACATAACTGGTTCTTGAACAGCTAATTCTACCGTATTAATTGATTAGTCAACTCTATGTCTTATAATGTATATCAGTATAGATATCACAATTTTTATGGAGCACAATATAATGAAGCTTAAACAAAATCAGTAATTGTACTCTATAAGAATTGTGTTATATAAATATCAAACCACCTTTATCAAATGTCATTCAAGTAAAATATGTATATATCAATTACCTTGACAGTACTGTCCACAGCTCCAGAAAATATTCGACCTCTAGAAACAGCTAAACAGGCTACACTACCAGTGTGTCTGACTAATGTTTGGGTACATATCATATTATCCATACTCCATACCTGTATCATATATAGAATCATACAGATTGAATTATCATCTACTTTCAGAGCTCTTACTCTTTCTTGAGCTGATACTTTCAATTTTTAACATCACACTGTCAAGTCACAAGATAAATTAATTTTTAGCTAAAAACAAACCAAGTACATAGAGCTGCAATTGAGCTTTATCAGCAGGAAAAGCAAATATGTAGAACTCTACATTTACAAATCCTTGTTAATTCATTTACAAATCTCTTTGATTTGAACATAAGGGGTACATATAGATTCATAATGTTAAATGATATGCACATCAAAATGAAGAATGTTTAAAAAATTACAATTCTTAATATAATTTGTACGGCAGCATTTTTTCTTTACAAAAATAATTCTCTTATTGTTGTTCTATGAAACAAATTTCACATGTGGCTTTAGGGCTTAATTATAATTGGGTTCTTCTTCAAGTAAAGAAAATGATAAAACTATTACAGTTCTATACAAAAAAACATGCCTTGAGGAAAATGTCACTTTCAACAATGAATTTAGTCTGTAAGGACAAAAAGGATCCACCCCCAACATGCTGTAAATTAATGTTATCACATACATTTAGTTCCAATGATAACAGTTTTAGTCTGAATAGATTGTCCTAAATTAAAGACATTTAAGTTTCAGGCAAGGCAGCTATTGCCTGCACATTTATTTTGATGTTTTTTGAAGATATACTTTGAATACTTGTATGCAGTGGTATATTTAGAGGATGGGCCATTGGGCCTGTGATAGGTCTCCATCTGTAGTGAAAATTAAGCCAATGTAATGCTCAACATTTATCTCTAGTCATCTGGGCTTCGGCCTTTTGGGTTTTGCGCCTCTCAACTTTGGGCCCCCAACCTCAGACATTTTCTAGAGACACTCCTGCTTGCAGCAGAAATCTTTGTTGATGTTGTACATGCCTTAAAATATCTCAAAGCTTTGATTGGGCATCCTTTAACTTTAACAAATGGGCATCAGCTGTTCATGAAAGATTGGCATCAAAATTTTTAAGTCTCTATTCAGAAATATAATGAAAATAGAAGACAAAATTGAGCAGATGTAATCTACTCTATAAAAATAAAAATATTTATATTTGGAAACTAAGTTCCAGAAGGCGAAAATAACATGTACTAATGAAGGTGAATAGTAATAAGGAGTATGTCAGCAATTAAAATGACAAGATAGTTTGATATCTGACAAATATAACTACCTCTTATTCTTAACACGGAAATCACTAGAGAGGTGGGTGGCAACAATTAATATATAAACAAAACTTTCCACACATCTTCATTACTATACACGGAACAGCATACAGGGAGCTGGCACAGTGTTGGTCTTCAATAAAAATACATTCTTGGATCAAAATATTCTTTTTGAATTTGAATTCACATAATTTTGAACAATGAACAGAAATATATCTGTGTTAGTTATTTTGTGTATTTACTGTGCAATAATTCATGGTAAGATATTTTATTTTACTTATTTGGTCTTCCGATGACTTAAATTTGGTATAAAATATTTCTGTTAATGAAATTATAGATCTATTAAAATCTATTTCATTGTGGTTTCTCTTCTCTCTCTTGTCTAGTGAAATGATATTTCTATGGAAATTTCTTATAAGATTTGGCATGTTTTTGACAAATGGAAAAATTTGAGAGATACATGTATATGTATAACTTTCAGTCATTTATTATTCTCCTTTTCTTTCCAAATGTAAAAACTGGAGCTCTTCCAAACAGCACCCATTTGTCAGCTCACAACCAATTTTTGAGTTTGTCATAAGTATACAATACAATTCTCAAGATTCTGTATGTTGTTAACAACCCATTTAGTATCAAGTATGAGCAAAAATTGGGTTCTGCCTACTTAAAAGGATTGTATAGAGGTTTTCTAAAAGCATCAATTTGTACCATTTCAACTTCAGTCAGACTTCTGTCACAGACGATCTGTGGTTCCTGCAATTTCACCATGTTTGATAACATCTCTAATCACAAATTATACTTTATAACATTAGGCCCTTCATGATTAGTGACATCATCAAACACTTAGCTTAGTGGAATTGCAGGAACCACAGACATCTGATTGAACATTAGAATGATGAAAATTGTCCGATTCACATAAAAAGAATTAGAAAACCTCTTTGACATGTCATATTTGAAAATGTATAAATATAACAAGCCTAATTTTATTTGTATTTCTATATATTCTAGCCTACAGATTCTATGGTCCTTATGATATATTTCAACCACAAGATTCCAGATGGCAAAAAATCATCAGAAACAATGGTAAGTGATCCATCTGAATTTCTTAAGTTCACAGCTAAATCTTTGGTTCTCAAATTAGAAATTACTGTAACCAATTATAAAAAAGATAATTTTGTGATATAATCATTTTAAAAAGATTGAAAATTTGACTAATTCCAGTATAAACTTTAGGGATGGTTCCCCAAGAAAAGCAACATGCAAAAACTGAAATTTAAATGAAATATATCCAGGGTGTTTCCATGGAATATCAGCACTAGCCAAAGCTCAGAAGGCTAAGCCACAAGGAAAGATGAAAATAAGTGCCAATTGTTAATTAATTATGGTCAAATTTGATAAATTTTATGAAATTATGTTACTGAATATATATTTCTTTTAATTATGGTGATTATAAAATCATACTTGCTCTGAATAGGTTTCTAAAAGCCCAATTGTTTGATAATCAATCTGAATATTCTTAAAGTCAACGATACTGGCTAGGCTTTTAGAGTACTGAACTTAGGATAAGTTGATTTATTGCTTTTCTTAATGTTTTTAAGAGGTAATAAATTTTAGAATATACAACAGTTTGATTGCCTAAACTCAATTTACTTTTTTCATGAGAGCATGATAGCTGACATACTTTTTGCAATTAAAATTATTTTCTGTCAATTTATTTGATTGATGGAGTATTATCATGTTACAGTTTTTAACTTATACTTTTTTGGACTTGAAATAAGATAAGATGTACAGCAGATTAAAGTTTATGTGATAAAAGTCACCAGGGATGTAACATGCTGATATTGAAGATATTTGAACGTCATCAATCTTAATTGCCTATAATAATGTTACAACAGCCTGGAAGAGATGACCGGAAAACTCTGGTTTTTATTGAATTTTGTTATTTCAAATTGCAGTATAATTGGTAATCAGATTCTAATTCTCAAAACAAAAGTATTTGAAATGGAGCTTTATATTACTAGAAGCCAATGCCTTTGATGAAATTTTACCCATTCTGATTCTACACATACGTTTGATAGGGACAAAGACTTTGAATAATATACTCTTATGAGTTTGTACACTCTGAGGGCAATTTTCTTGATTATTTACAATTACTATAACTTTAAAAATTCGAATTTTATAGTATATAATTTATACATTCTTCAGGATTGAATACATTCTTTAGAATTTTATACATCGCTTTTCTGCATTCTTTAGAATTTTTATACTTTTTTTTAGAATTTTATATGTACATTCGTTAAATCTTTCTATTTTTGAGATACTTTCCGTAGAATTTAATACATTCTTTAGATACATTCTTTATACATTCATTAGAATTTTATAGATTTTTAAGATATTAATGCCCTTGTCATGATATAATTTTAATGATAATTGACATCTTTCTGAGATGGTCACTTAAAAGAGGCCTTTGCCATTGGTGGAATCCAAATATAGCCATTTGTTGTAATGTAAGTTGAAATCACAGCTCAAGGGTTTAGACAAGAACTTTCAATGTTATCATTATTCTATTTTCAGAAGACCGAGATCCTAAAGGAGTTATGTTTCCTTCTCTAACTGATAGAGATGAATATTTACGTCAACTCATCAAAATACTGGAAGATATTGGTAAAAAATAATATACAGCATAGTGGTATCAAGTAATGACATGAGGACCTTAGTTTGTGGGGGCAAGGGGTAGGGTATAAATGGTTTAACCCTGCAGTATAGAGTATTCATAAGCTAACAATGTGTATGATAGTTTCAAAATAACTAGAGCTGTGAATATTACTTTTGAATACTTTATAGACTATTATATTCATTTGAAGATTTAGTCCATACCATAATTTTAAATGAATATTGCTGATGTTCAGGAAAAATAACAGTAAGGACTAATCATAGATATATCCAGGTTTTGTTAGTATTCTTAGTGTATATGTTTAATCTTGTAGAGAAAATAAAGTAATAAAGTAAATGAACAAAATAAATATGCATCATTGAAACTGGTTTTTTGTCTATACATGATTAATAATATTAACTCATGGCAAGATTAACTCATTATTCTAGTGCTTTACCTTTTGAGAATGATATCACTTGAATCACATCAATATGATAGCTTGATAAATCATTACCAAATGATTCAAAAGTCAGAGATAGCCGCTACTTGTTTAATAACTACCAATCTAATGAGCAGAGCCCCTCTGTAGGAATATGCAATGTAATTATATCAATATACTGCATTTGACAGTCTCCTGGGGGCATAACTTGCTGACAGTTTTCAGATGGTATAATCTTACTTTCCCACAACAAAGTCATCAATGTTATATTTTGAGATGCATCAAACATTCAAATGAAAAAAACTTTCATTCCTGCGTCATTGAAGTGTAAACATTGTTACCGACATGATAAATGAATGTTATCAAGTTCAAGCGATAACAATTACAAATGCTATTCTCATTTTGAAGTGATCAGTTCCGTATGTCAATGGGTTTGGTTCATGTCATCAAGTTAAAAAAAACCAACCCATTACAATTAATCTTACCATGTGGTGACTTCTTATGGACCTTTTCTTCACTTTTTCCTTAGAGAGGGAACATTTAATTCTGTCTCATAAAGCACTCAGTATGCTGGTGTAAATAGCCAGTTATTAGTATCTGGTACCAGGCACTATTTGCTTTATTGGGAGACCCAATTCTGGATCAAGTGTAAAAGGGTATAAAGTTCTGATTTAAATACAAAATAAACTTACCCGTAAAGATCTATCATAGGAAGCACTGAATACTTTAGTACCAGACGCTGTTTGTAACGCAGATAAAGCATACACTGTACCAGAATGTCCATTTAAAGTTGTTGTATGTACATAATTAGTATCCCAGACCTACAAAAATTACCATTCATTATTTCACATAAATGTAAACCATCTATCCAAGGTCAAGGCTAATGCCTTTAAAATCTTATGAAATATTCCATGAAAACTTGACTTACAAGAGAACAATACTTTGCAGGTTTTGAAAATTTAGGGTGTTAATATGTTGGCCAATGAAATAACCCAAGTCCCATCTCTATTCATTGATGTCAATTTAGATAAAGTTACATAAAAAAAGTTAGGAAAGGAAACACATCACTTACATTTATACAATTTTCATAAGTACCGCATAATATATGATGACTAGTAATAGCTATACTATAAACACTTCCACCTGATGTTTCTAACATTCTAACACATTCTAATGTTCCTAGATCCCATATCTTAAAATACATCAAATGGTTCCTTATATACTACTCTAATTACATTTGCTTTGAATTTCTAAATATAGTCAAAACATTACTGTAAATTTATGAATATGCAAAAAGATATGAGGGACTGATATCATTGACCATTCTGGATGACAAGATGTCTTTGACCACTTTGACATTCACTTTGACATGGAGTTCCAGAGGGTCATTGATTGTATGACAATGAAAGTATACAACTCTATTCTGTTGTTTAGTATTTGGAGACTGACTATTCTCAATATAGATTCACTTTCTGAAGGTTCAGATGGAAATAAAAAATTACTTTATTAAGTATATTACCTTGATAGTTTGATAAGAACCACTATATAAATAATCAGCAGTAGCAGCTAGAGCTCTCACCCAATGGTTTAAACCTGTTATTTCTTGTTTCATCTCATAGGTATAGGCATCCCATACCTACAAACCATAGGCATTCTAACAACTCCAAAATATAATATGAAACACCATGAGTTGCATAAAAAAAACAATGAAAATAAAAAATGCCACATGGGCTTGATGTCATCAAATTTCAAAATAAAAGCCAGATTTATAGGATTTAAAGCATACAAGGAAAAAGTATGAAGATAATTGATGACTCCCAAGAATTGTTACTAGCATTTTTTAAATCCTTCCTGTTTCTTATGTAACATTTGACCAAAAGACCTTATGTTTAAGAGAAATAATGTTTATACACTCAAGATATTACATGATTCACTAATAAATTATTCTAAAAGTGTTATAAATCCTGTTGCATATATTTTTTCACCTAATCGTCCAATACATACCCTTATAACTTTCAGTGAACCACTAAATATCATATTTCTAGCTGAAGTTAATGTACATACAGGATTATCATGAGCTGCTATACATTTAATAGTTTCAAATGTATCTATATCCCATACCTACAAATATCAAATAATTTTTCACAATAATCAACCATTTAGATAACTTTTTAGATCACAGATTATTTACCATTAGCCTACAAATTCACAAGAGTTTAAACAGAAACATTTGACGGAATTGTGTTTTTTCTCTTTTACTAGCAATTCTAGGTGCATGGGCATACAAAACTGACAGTATCAACACATACCAGAATATTACAGTCTTGTGAACCACTGAAGAGTTTTTTACCATATGTACATAATGCCAATACAATACCAGTATGTCCTTCTAAAGTTTTCACACATTGAAAATTTGCACTTGTATCCCATACCTTAAATAAATACAGATTGGAATATTTTTAATGCAGAATTCTTTAATCATATGACCAATGTTTGCACATATCAGTTGACTAAACCTTTAACTTAAGGTCAAGGACATAACAATACAAAAACCAAGAACCAGTCAGTTGCAACTGAAAATCCATGAAATATCATCATAAATAGTTATCTATTTTAAAGAAACCACAACTTAAATTGATATAATAAACGCCAAAGATTCCTTGGGAGTTGCAAATCTAACAAGGGCCGACTTTTTCTCTTAGGCTCATTGCATGCTACACGGGGTTACCTGTCTTGATAAACCAAATCAGGGGCAGATATGTAACTTTGTTTCAGTTCAGTTCAACCTATATGTAAGTACATGTATATTTTACCTTCACTGTTTTATCAGAAGAGCCACTGTATAGAAAATCACCTAAAGCACATAAACACCACACTGGTCCCTGTAAATATACAATTAATATGCAAATATATAATATATACAATTGATATTATCAAATATATACAAAATGTACAGTATACTTAAAACTTGTAACTATCATTTTATATTCATGTTTTTTCATTATTGTCATAATGTCATTCCTTTTATTTCAAATTTTATACAATTTTTGAAATCATCAAAATAAATTTTACATATTATTGTTTCTGTATATTGAATGTCACTGTGCAATATTCCATACTATTACATGGGAGATAACCCTAGTGTTAATTGAAATCGGTTTTATCAAACGATTGGAATATATATTTTTCAAGTTGTGAAACAACAAGTACAAGATATAAGTAATTTTTTTGAAACTTACCTGATGACCCACACAAGTACCTTTACATTTGAACATTGATATAGGATCAAAAGCTGAAATCATAACAAAATGAACAATGATTAACCAATACCATGAAATATGTCAAAAAGCTCATCACAGAGTATACCTATATTGGGGACAAATATATCTTTTCAATTATTAACATTAACAAATAAAACCTACCTCCAGCAGTGGCACCTAAATCTAATCTATTGTTCATTAATGCTATTTGTTCCTGAAATATACATAAAAACATTGAACACATTAATATGTATGTATACTTGAAACAGTTTCACAATCAATCTTCACATACAGTGAGTCTCATGCACAAAGAAATCTTCCTTTTAATTCTGCATGATATTTGTTAAAATAAGAAAAATTACCCTCTGCTTACTTTTGGGGTAAAATCCTGAGATGGATTTAAATGAAGGGGGTATCTACCAACTTTTTTAGTTAGAAGCATGATATATAGCTGTGGAAACAGACTGAGTTGAATATGTTGCAATTCAAAAGAAGACTTACAGCTAATGTTGAATATTCTCTTCTATTATCCATAACTTCATTCATTATTTTACTTTGATTATGTTCCACTAATTCTGTATTAAATAAACAAAGAATGACAGACATCTTAAAATTCTAACGGAACTAATATATGCACCTTAAAAGGGATATACATGAAATCTTTTAATTATTCCATTAATCATTTGATAGAACCCCAGAGCACTTTTCAAATAGAAGATGCAACCGCTTAAATATCAACCTGATATGTCTGAAGATCGGACACATGTTTTAGATACATAATCAATCATCAAGCCAGCCATATTTTAAATGGTTGTTAAGTACTAAAGTGTCTCCATCCACATAAAAAGAAAAAAACATCTTTATATTCTAACATTAAAAGTTAACGAACTTTACTTTTTACTCTAAAGTTTTTGAAGTCAATTCACACTTACCTAATTTGATGTCTACAGATTTTTCTAACATTTCCAATCTTTCAGCCAATTTTCCCAACATGGAACGTAAAAATTCAATTTCTTGATCTTTTTGTAAGACAGTTAGCTGCATGTCGGACATCTTTTCTTCAGATCTTTGTAAGAATTCTTTCATACTTTCAAATTTACAATGTTTTAAATGTTCTTCCAATTCTTCTTGCGTAGCCACGAAATCACATCTAAATAACGTAAACACAATAACTAAGTAACTACAAATAGATTAGAGGGAATCGAACAAACCTTTAACTAATTCATCTTCTTAAAATAGATTCCCATCTAGAATGATATCAAAGACTTTCAATCTTAGAATCATTTTCTTTACAATGGACAACAAAATCTAGCTGATAACAGTTGATTCAATAACACTCAAGTTCAATCAAAATAACCTTGATATAAAAGATGTAATGATTTCAATGAATAGCATTATTGTAATTCAAAGGAACATTCTCTTATTCAGTATCAATAGGGGATTAATGCAATTACACAACCAAATAATGAATCTTTTTGACTTCTTTACCTTTTTAATTGATGAGCAAATGCTGCAGAAAAGAAAGATGCAAAGTTGCAAGCATTAGCCTAACTTATTTTAAAGAAAGAACCAAAACACAGTAAATCAAGAGGACAAAGAATGTACACTGTAAATATTTTTGAGAATGCGTAATCTGAAGTAGACAGTCCCTGAGTTGCATCAGGTGTTCCAGAAAGATGACAAGCTACAGTAGGCCTAGTAGAGCTTAAATCCATCGAGAGTTAATGAATGTTTTAGGCTATTTAATGTCAACTCATGAAAAGAACAAAGCAGGAAGATAAAACAGCTTTTTCAATTTGATTGAGGAAAAAAACAGCTATTCAACTGATTCTTATTCTGAGGTCATATAACATGAATTCCTTTCTTATTTTTTAAATCTAATAATAACTTTATTAGAAACAAGAGCTGACATTGACAGAAATTCAGGCCAATTCAATTTTTTCCATAAAATATCTTGAAGGGAAAATAATAGAGCAATCAAAAGAAATCAATATAGCTACAGTGTTTGTTTGACATGATTTTATTGGTGTTTATCATTAATGAGTATTTAGCATCATGATTCATGAAAGGGTGTATGAGTTTGGCAACATCCATACTTTGAATAAACCTATTGATGTGCTTCATATCCATGTTTTAAGGGAAGAAGTCTCAGAAACAGGAATTTATTTTTAGCTAAGCCAATAAGTATTAGTGTACACAGCTAAGTGTCAAAATTTTAGCCTTCAAATACATGTGTGTCCAAAATTATCTGCCATATATAGAAAAAACATTTATAGAAATAGGAAAAGAAATTCCTATTTTGAGATATTTTTGAAGAAATTATGCAATTTTCATACAGTAGTACTTCTGAAATTTTCATATATTCAAGACTCAAATCAACCCCTCAAAATGGGTCACCTATCTTGTTAAACACATCTTTAATCAATAGTAAGAATAAGAAGACTTCACAAGTTATGAAATTCCATTTGCATTGAAATTTTCCATTATTGATAAAGCATAAGAGATTTTACGAAGTCATTTTTATTTTCAATACCTTCAATCTGAATAATTATCAAATTTCAATATCCTAAACTAACATTAATATCAAATCAAAATATTTGATTAATACTCGTGTTCCTTTAATATTTCTCACACTTTTATTTGATTAATTTCAAAAAGTGAAGTTGATAGTTGAGAAATCAGTAATTACACTATTTCTTTGCCTAATTCCCAGGAACTTAATTTAGACTATTGATTTACGTCTGATATAACAACTTCTACTACACTCCATTAGTTTAACTGACAAAATTGGCTTACAGTCAGAGACAAAAAAAGGCAATAAGTGTCCAAGGATTAACCTTCTCGAAAAAAGGAAAGAAGAATAGTTTTCTTACAAGAGAATAACCTTCACATGAAAGAATGAAATGGTTTGATTTTTTCGTGATATCCAAACTAAAATGCACTAGATGTAATCAAATGTACATCAAATAATGGAGGGCTTAAGAATCTTATTTTCTGCATCATATTGGACTAAGCAGGCAGCCACAACCATGTGACGCATAAAGAGATTTCGGTATGACTATTTAAAAATTGAATAAATCTTTAAGAAATAGTTGGATCGTATTAGGTGAAATTTCCTGGTTAAGATGTGGGCAGAGAAAGTGAAGTGAATATTTTACTTCATGCAATTTAACTTACTTTGAACCTAATGCTGGCTGTCAGTCAAACTGTCACATGAATGAGAAATTCTTAATGAAGAAGTTTCCACTTAATTGAAGAAATCAGCCAGTGCTGATTGGATATAAAAAGCAGGTTAGGTTCTAATATCACACATTACTATCAAGCAAACAAAAAAATTCAGAATTTGCATTTAAATCAAACTGATGAGAAATTTTTCAAGAACTTCAAATTTATAAATCTACCAGAAAGTGAGGCATACATAAAATAATTTACCTCATCACAAGAATTTAAATCAGTAAAGAAAATGTTTTTTGATGAAAATGAATGTTAGAGGTATATGTATACTGGTATATGAGAATCAGTATACACCACGTATACATACAAATCAATTTCTTTAATAAATTGGTGAGATTATTTTATAAAATCTCCAAAATATAACAGTAATAAAATAAAAGCATCAATTGCAAGAAAACTTTAAAAAATTTAGATCTTACCCATATTTTTTATGAGGACAACGAACATTATTACAGGATCTTAGATGGTCTTCTAAATCCTTAAATATAAAAAATCAATATATTATATCACTTTCAAGTCTTTATAGCCTACAACTCAAGTTGTGCAAACATATACTCAAGATTATTCATGAAGTTTAACTCGAGGTTTGAAATATTGAATGGTAATGGAAAATCATATTTTGGTCCAAAAAGCATGGAATAAATAAAATGGACACTAAAAGAAAAGTTGTAGAATAACTCGTTGCCAAACTTGATAGCCATATAGAATATTTCTCATTTGACATATTTAAAATTGATCACTAGGATCAGGGTTATGGTTTAAATGTTTTTGACGGCCATTTGCCACTATGATATAAGTCTATGGGATTGTATTTATTAAATTGTGTTAGTTTAGTTGAAAATTTTCAGGAGGTTAAGGTTGTAAACTCCACAAAAGATCCAGTAAAATGGTTTATGTTGATTTGGCTGACAAATGCATTCAAATCAGTAAACTGGCCTGAAAAGACTTTTACTTCGATAATCAATCAAGAAAAGAAAATATCAATACCTTTTTTAATAATTGTGGACAACCAGCTTTATTAGGACAATCTACAGGTTTATAATCACAGTCTGATTCATGTTCTCTGAAATCATTTTAAAGATAGCTTTCTTGAAATGCTAAAAAACATAACCCAGTCATCCACACACCAGAATTGAAGGATTTTTTTTTTAAAAATTCAACAGATGGTAACTGCAATATTTGGTTGTTTGTTTGTTGCTGCTCTCAGATCATTCCACTTAAAATTAAATTGCAATTTGTTTTTTGTTGGTTTTATTTTTTGTATTCATTGTAATCTTGTTAATAAGTTGTTTGCTGCAGTCCCATTCTTTTAACATAAGTTTTAACCAATCAATGTGTGTTATGTAGAAACTGTTTCTTGATAACATAATGAATTGTGAGATAGCAACATCCGAAGCTTAGCTACAGCATCTTTGAGTTTTGCTATCCCAAAATCCATTATGTTATCAAGAAACAGGTTTGGCATACAGGTTTTGATTGGTTCAGATTAACATCATTAAAACAGTACTGTAGAATAAAAATTGTCAGATGACAATGAAGACAAAAATATTAACAAACCAAAAAGAACGTAATTTTAATCTAATTTCAATTAGATTGCTCTCAGATAAGACCAAGTCCAGTACAATATTTGATTCTCCCAGGAGAAGCAAGTTAAAAAAAAACAACAGACAATTTATCTGCTGCACTGCACTTTATATCTCTTCTTTAAATATTCCAGTGTGAATCTTGTCAAGACTTTCTTACACAGAAATTGATTATTCAAATGCACCACACTTGATTGTTACCAACTTGAGAGACTTGGACTCTATCCAGCAATGATAAAATAATGTCAAATTCAGTGTGAGATTATTGTTGTTTAGTATTCCATTGTATAATCAATAGAACATTAACTTCATATTCTCATCCAGTGGTCAGGTTGATAAAGATGGTCTTTTGTTTTAGTCAAATCAAGGTGGTCCAATATCAGTTACTGATATTTACTGTCCAAATATCCTTAGAAACTATAAAAGATATCTAGATAACCTATTATGATAAATTTTACAACAAAAATTAAACCAATAAAATAACACAAACGGATACATGTTTTTTAATATTTATTTTTTTGGAAAAAATTCTTACGAAATAAGTCTTGTAGGTTTACTTAATGAGTATAGACCATTGTGTGCTTATAATAAGAATCTCTTTACCAAAAATGTATCTTGTTAGTGAATTTACTATATAAATATCCTTGAGATTGTAACCATAAACATATCAGGTTACTTATTTGGGCACTGAATATTAGTAATTGTGGAATATTCCTGGTACAGCAGGCCTGGGCAATATCATGATAAAGACCGTTTAGTAGTCATCACAAGGGAGAAACTTGAATTCTACAATCATCTGATAATGAGGGATAGAACCATACACTCACTGTTTGAAGACAAGGACACACATTCAAAGACTGGGATAAAAGTAAAGTTGAGGGACAGGATAGGTGATGAAACTCACTGACAACTCTCTAAACTAGCCAATGGCAGAATGTGACAAGGGCCAGTGAGATCAGTTCAGTTAACTGAATCTAAGAGAGGGCAATAATTAGAGGATTAGTATTAGACCAATGTAAGGTAATTATGTGCTTATGAAAACAGTACTGGTACATTAAGATAAGACAAATGTTCCCTGTCACAGATGGATGTATACAGATGCTAAAAATGTATTGAAGAAATAAATCAGTTTTTAAAAGTTTTAACAAGTCAATCTGCATCAATAAAAGAGAAATAAGAGAAAGTCTATATAGTTTTAAAAGATCAATAATATGTTCCTATGGGAGGGTATACTAGACTTGTGATTAAATGTTCCTTAGTTATCAAACTAAACCTGCTGGCTCACTTCAATATTATTACTTTTTGTCTGACTGTTATAGGTCATGCAGAACAATTCTAATATATCTTTTAATGTTTTAACCCAAACAATATTGTGACTACCACTTCCAAATTACAGGAAACTATTTCAAGAGCTCTCTTTTTGGAATAATCACACCTTTTTTTTAACTAAACACATGCAACTTTCTTGAGCATATGGTCATGATATGTATAAATAAGACTGTATTAGACAATAATGTTACATTAGGATTCTAGAATGTGTATTTATAGTATTTGGTTCAATTTCATATGTGATATAACAACTGTCAGTATTTGATTGGTTTAGCAAACTGTTAATTTAATTTATTTGTATGGTGGCCTATCAATCAAAATTTTAGGTTTGTGTAAAATAAACTGCAGCCTCTTTAATAAATGTGTTATCCAACAGCCATTGGAACAACCTATTTTCCAGATCCTAGGGATATTTTTTGGTGGATATTTCTAGCCCCTGAGTGGTTTGAGGCTCCTTTATGGTCTTTAAGCTTTGAGTAAGAAACACAGGAATTTTGGGATGCTTTTAGAAATAAATAGCGGAAGGTTACTTGTGCCTTGATCAAATACACACAAATTGTGATTTCATAGAACGATTAAGGGAAAGATCAAGCTAGCTCATTAAATATGTTACTTACTGTCTATCTGCTATTTTCACTGTAACAGGACATAATGCTAGGTCTAGTTTATAACTTACACCATCTTCTGCTAGATGACAACCATATTTACAATGTATAAATAGTTCTCCTATTTGTTCAGATACGGCTATATTAGCAACAACTACTGATAGTTTCTGATTATCTACTGGACACTGATCTGTAATGTAAAAGGAAATTCAACTAATTTGATAGTTAAAGTCTAAAATTGTTTATTGCCAATAGTTTAACATTGGTTAAAAAAATTCAAAAGAACTATATCCTTAAACAACTAATTTATTTTAGAAGCAAAGGTTGGATGACAACAAGTATACAGCAAAGGTTAATAAATTCCTTTTATTTACTTACTTTCTGTATTCACTTTGACACATCTTTTACAATAAGTATGCTGTAATAAATGTTAATGCCACAAATCACTAAAACAAATCAATTGGTAAAATTAGTAAGTTCAATATCATTACTTGTTATAACATAGTCTGTAAGTTCCTTTAATTAGGCACCTAGCCTAGTGTGATATTCATATCACTGTAATTGCCATAAATCAATTATTCATTCCCTAATTCAGGGCAGACATATTTTTTTTTATTAAACTGAACAAATTTAGTGGATTTATATAATATGGCAATTATCTACATTTCCATTCTGAAGCAAAATCTTTAAAGGGATTGTGAAGAGATTTTCTAAATTTTTCATGTGTATCAGGGACACTGATAGCATTAATTTGCATGATTCCAATTTTCAATCACATGTCCGTGGTTCCTGCAATCCCTTACAACTAAGTATTTAATGACATCACTAATTATGAAGAGCCTATGTGATTCAAGCACATGCTGTGATTAGTGACCTCATCCCTTGAACAATACGTCTACTTTAAATATTCTAAATCAAAAAATGGTACAAATTCTTTACAGAAATTTAACCAACACAATTATCTTAAAGAAATTCTTAGAGCAAATTTTCAATGGGAGTAATTTTATTGACAATTTAATGGCTAAATTGCATGATAAATTGAAGAAGACTCACCCCACATGCAACAATAACAGGATCATGAAAGATATTCTGGCATAATTTACAATACAGAGTTTTATTTGGTACTTCCACAAACACTAATATTTCCTGAAAATCAAATCCGGAATAAATTATTAGTTCTTGACAACAGACTTGTCCTGTTCACGGTCATTCTCATTAAAATATTCAACCTATCAAATATATTGTCTTCCATCAAAGAAAAGGAATTCTTAGATAATTATTGGAAAATATTGACTTATATTGTCATCCAACTTCTAACAGAGTTTTATATCAGTCTCTTTGAATTATGATTAAATTTGGCGCTCTTGGGTCAAATTATACTGAAAATGATTTAAAGAAGAATTTGGTGGATCATGGATGGAAAAAGTAACCTGCAGAAAAAAAAGACACAGAACGAAACATCTGGATCTGAATTTTGAACTCTGCATGAAATAGCACATTATATGCCACCTTTGTGACTGTGTTTGTCAAAACAGCATCACATAGTCCACCTAGCTATCAATGTCAAGTTTTTAAATTCTATTTGTCATATAAGGTCAATTCCCTTGAATAAAACTGAAAATTGTTCTTACATCTTCTTTATCAGCTATCAATAATGATCTATTACTGCTGGTGGTAGAATTATTACGTTGTACAGGATTGGCTGGTACTTGTAATAAACTTGATAGTGGTGCTATCTATTATATAAATCAAGTAAATGTCATGTCATCATCATGAAAATTTATGCATTATTAAAGTATTTTCTCAATGACAGACTCTAAGAAATATTCCCAGTAACATGTAAAAGATTTTGGGTGTACTATGCCAATAGGTGGCTTTAAGAATTTGTAACAAAAGCTATTTTAAAGAAAAAATAGGATTAATCCTGTCTGATTTTCAAGGATGAAAAATTTGACATGGATAAAATCTTGAGGCCTCATTCACAAAGTCTTACAAAATCCAGATTTAGGGATACAAAATCATCTGAAAGATAAAAATGCTCAAATTTGTTTTGATAATTCCTTTTGCTACCGTAACGGTTTTGTGAATAGGGTTCAGAAAATGACAGCAAGGGTATGCCTATTCCTATATCATTACTAAAACAGAAAAAACATACCCCAAGATTATCCACTACAGTGTTTCTAGTAGCCAATGTTCCAGGTGGAGTACTAGCAGTGGAACTTAAATAATTATAATATTCACTATCTGAATCTTCATCTGTATAATAATAATTAATTGTTCAGAATAATCATAAAATTCACTTTCATATTTCACTAATATTCACTACCGTATCATGTCAAATTTCTGCTTAATGACAACAAATCAAGAATATCCCCCCCCCCCCACACCCTGGTTCCTAATAAAGTGATGATAATAATAATAAGTAATAATAGTAAGATAGACCATTTTCAAACTCAGATTTACACACAAATAAAAACAACTTACTATGTCGAACTGTTGTTATAGGAGGAAAGTTTGAAGCACCAAATGTTGTTTCCACTTGGAATGCAGGTACCTAATAAAGTGATGATAATAAATATGGCAACAGCAATAGTAAAAGTTTGTTAAAAAAACACAATCAAAGTTCTTAAGTATGCTGTCTGGTCAAACATTTTGCATCAGATTATCTGTCACCATTTACAGCAATATCGTCTAGAATAATGAATAAAGGTAATTTTTTTAGGGTCACCAGACTCCTTTGTACCAATTGAGATTAGACATACACCCTTTGTCCCATATATTCCAATTAACTGACTGATCTACAGTTTGTCTTCCAAAATATAAAAATTCAGCTCCGCAATCAAAAGATTTACATGCCTCTTGAAGTTTGTCAAATACATTGTACAAGTACTTTAATATTAATTGAGATATCAACTTCAAAATAGTACTGATAGACTTGTCTTGGTATATTTGGTTAGTGAAATTCTAGAAAGTATTTGGGATTTTCACAGAGTTCAGTTTTCAGTAAAAAATTGTGGGTAGGCTGAGCTGATGTTAATAATGTAGATTCCAGGGAATATTACCCCTGGTAAGTGACACTTGATGCGAGACCTAGTAGAAATCTGAATAATGTTGTAGGTAGAGTCAGACATGGCTGTTGACTGTCATCAAGTGTCAAAGTTGATCTATTGTTATATTCCATTTTTTCATTGGGTTATTGACAAGTCACTCTCTGTAGAGTGGAATGAAAACACCGCACCCATATTCAATAAGCCAATAGGCTGTAATTGTAAAGAAGTTTGTGTACTTACGGGTGAGTTGCTAGTTTGAGGTGTTGTTTCAGGGTAGAAATTCCTCTCTTTATTTGACGCCGCCATGATTTATAACACTTTACCCAAATTTTTCACATACATTTTAAAGAAATAGTTTATTTCTCCGAAGTTCATTTGACAAGTTCAATAACAACTTTCCGACTTTCACTTTACAACATGTTTCGACATGAACGTCCAGACGGATTAGGTCAAATTGACCCAAATTATAGGCAGAAAGAGACAAATCGACCAAACAAATCGCGCACAAAAATCGTGAAATGAAATAGGACTTAAACATCTAATGTGGATCCAATACATAATTTCATTGTGCGAGTTTATAACCGTACCATCTATCAAGAGCAGTTCCATTAAGATTTGTAGTATTGTTGAGAATACTAGTTTCATGACCCTAAACTTTCTACATTTAGTACATTATATCTATCTGGGGTGGCTTTACGCTTAAATTTAGAAGATTCAACTAGTAGACAAATGTCGAAATCAATGGCGGCGTCAGCCTCCACGATTTTGGGACATAAATTGGGAGGTAGACTTCAGATTTAAGTGACAACTGAGAATCCAAATAGGAAAACGCCATGAGCGCAGGACTCCTATGTAGGATCTAGGACCTGACACATATTTTTGTCACGAAATCATATAGACCCGGGCTTTAACCTTTTACAACCAATAACATATCATATAATAAGTCATATTGTAAGTGAAGTGAAGTGGTGGTACAATTTCGTCTTGGCAAATCATTTTCGTTGAGGCATTTGGAAATGTAACGCATCTAAAAAATGTTATAAGCAACTTTATCAATATCAAGTTAAAGGGACAGTCTGTTATTGTTTGTTGAAAAGATAGGAAGGTATAAAGGTGATCAAATAAAAGAGGACTATAGATCAAAATCTAGAGAATGTGTCTCTTACTCTATCTAAAAGTTTTTACTGGAAATATAATTATTGCCTTTACTTTTTAAAGCACCAATACTGGTTAACGTAAACCTTTTAAAGTCGCATACTGCCCCTCCTTGATACACCCTTGGGCGAATTGACTCTCTTTTATTGTTTTTTTAATTCAAGAGGACTGGACAACGAAAGAAAAAAGCAGGTGCTTGGTGCTCGGTGTATCTCGCGATAAGGCTTGAGACTATTTTCTTAGCTTTATTCGCTGCTTGATTGGATGATAATATTTTCTTTTTTGATGAAAATTAAGTTTTAATTTTTGAACAATTTAATTTTGGCATTTCATTATATATGTGCTTGTTTATTTGATGAAAATATATTCTCTTCAAATTTAAACAAACAAAAAATTCAAGCCCGTGACTGTGACATCGGCGCCATATGGAAGTCACGTTTTTGGAAGAAGAACCTTTAGATTCAATATGGCTCATTTTATTCCTCCTAAAATTCAAGAAAATCCAAATGGATGGGGCCCTTGTCATATACCTGAACAGTTTAAGGACATGCCTTATCAACCATTCTCTAAAGACGTGCGCCTTGGAAAGGTTTGTATGTGATTGAAAATTGCATGTCAACACAGACGATCACGATGTGTCAAGTTATTTTGTTATGTCGTACCGGTTAATAATGTTGTACTAAGCCTACACCTAGTGTGTGCAGCCTTCTTGTCAACATTGTGTACTCTAGAAAGTCATTAATTGATAATTGTTCTTTAATATTCTAGGTCATGTTTTTTCAACACACATATCGATCTACTTCATTAGCAGGTCATTGGATTTTTGATTAAAAATCAAATGGTAGACCTACTAACGATTTGATATGATAATATATAATCCAATCTCTATTTTCAGGTGTCAGATTGGACTGGTGCTACCTACCAAGATAAAAGATATTTAAGTAAGTGTTGTTCATTTTCATACATTCATAGGATTATTTTTAATCATTTGTAGAAGAAATATTAAGTAATCACAGTGCATGGTACTAAAATAGTCATCTTAATAAATATGAATCATTAAAAACTAGAAGTTGATTTGTGTTATTGTTCTTTAGTATATAATGTGTTTGAATTTATTTACCTTATTTGTAATAATCTTAATAGATTAATTGTGATTATTTTCCAAATACATATACATTTTAACTTGATGGAATGTTTTTGTAGGTAAATATTACTCAAATTATGGTGGAGGACAACAATATGCTTACTACCATGATGAAGATGAGAGTTCCTTTCATCTGGTCGATACAGCCAAAATACCTAAACCATTATACCAACGTGGTAGACGTATGTTTCAACAGGTAAAATAGAGCTTCTCATTTTTCTTCAAACTATGATACTTTTTTTTCAAATAATAATCTTGAAGAATTCTCTTCAAAATTTTATGTACATAATGATGTAGTTATGAATATGATGAAATTGTGACATTATTCATGATAGAGAGATTTTACACATTTGACAATTTTCAACCCGATGTAAATGCATAAGTTTGATTTTGAAATTTATGTATGATTTTAGAGTAAACAACGTAAAGAAAGAGAACGTAAACAAGCTGCTACACAAGCTCAACTACGATCTATGTCGAAAACTATGAAAAATAGAGAAAGGTAATTATTTCTTAATCTATAGATTGAATTAACTGTACCTGTTTAAAGAGCATTGCATTGTTTTGTGTTTTGGATTAGTAGGAAAACTTAATATTTATAAGGTTAAATTTATCACAGCAATAAAGGTTTCATTAATACTTGGCACTAAAACCTCCAAGAAACTTCTTGAATCACAGATCCGCTCATTATGACTTATTTTTCTTTTTAGGGATCGTCAAAGATTGCTCAAGAAATGGCAGAAACAATTTGGTAAACAACAACAAGAAAATAGACATAAAGCTGTAAGTATGAAATTCACTTATATTAGTCTCATTTCATCTTTTATGAAATGCTATTTTGTCTACCAGCTGATCTTTGGCCCAACCTCTTGGTCTTTCAAGGATTATGGAATAGCGGGGGAAAAATGATATTTGTTTGATGTACTTAAGCAAAAGCATACAAATTTCCAACAACTTGACCAACTTAGCTAGAGACTGTCCTCAATGACATATATGATTCAGAAAAGAAGGCTTCTGAAAAAATGAATTTCTTATTTAACTTTACACAGGCACCTGCCAAAACTCGAGATTCATCAGTACAAGTGGAGAAAGATTGGGATGTTGTAGAAGAAATGGACTTCCCACGTCTAACTAAACTTAGCTTACCTAATGTTGATCCTCCAGTAGACCTGTAAGTTATAAATTTGATTTATGATATGATTACTCCATGCATTGCCATCTGAATTATTCTTTTGATATCGTGAAAGTTCATAAGTTGCAAGACACAGTAGATTATGGATACTTTCTATAAATGAACTAAAACTATGGAGTAAAAAATGTTGTCTTTGTCGCCTATTTCTTTCAAATTCTAGTTTTGAACCATAGTGTAAAAATTACAAATGTTAACTTATGCAGGGTTTGACTTTCTCTGTTTTCCTTTATTTCAGTGTAACCTGTGGGTCTATGGAGTATTATGAAAAGAGTTATGATAGAGTTACAACTAAGAGTGAAAAAAGATTAAAAAGAGTTAATAGAATCTTTCATAAAGTTACGACTACTGATGATCCTATTATTAGACAGGTTTGTCAATAATTTTTGGAATTCAACTACATATTGATGTCTATGGCTAATGCTAGGCAAACCGGTATTAGGCATTCCTAATGGTCCAAAAGTTTCAGATCTGGCTATGTACTTGCTTAATATTTTAACAGTTTATCATATTACTTGGTGAAAGTTTCTTGCTTTATATGTTGAATTTTGTTGTTGGTGTATCTTAAGATGGTTTTACTACTTTTTTCATTAAATGTTAAACTAGAATATGATTGGAAACTAAGTCTAGTAGGTCGTCTGATGTTGTGTTATCTTGAAATGGTTTTACCACCTGTTTCTTTTGGTTCATTTAATGTAAATGTCAACATCTGTCTTAATGAAACATTTTATTTCTTTTATAGCTCGTAAAAGGCAAAGCTAATGTGTTTGCAACTGATGCTATCCTAGCTACTTTGATGTGCTGTACTAGATCAGTATATTCCTGGGATATATTGGTACAGAGAGTTGGTAATAAATTATTCTTCGACAAAAGAGATACATCTGAGTTTAATCTATTAACTGTCAGTGAAACAGCTACTGAACCACCTCAAGATGAAGCTAACAGTTTTAATTCACCTCATAATCTAGCTTTAGAGGCCACTTTTATTAATCATAATTTCTCTCAACAAGTGCTAAGACAGGTTAGTGGTTTTGAATGTAATTATGTTTCTGTTCTACAAGGGCCAATCTTAAACTGGTAATGCATTTATTTTTATTTTTTTAAAAACATATTTGTCATTAAGTTTTGAAATGACCTCAAAATAAATAAAAATCCCACAGGAATGAACATATTGCTCAAATCAGACATGGGAGGCAAACTCTGTGAATGTATTGTAACAAGACTACTGCAATAATTAGATTTTTCAGTGCAGACAGTAACATCACTTTGGTTTTATACCCATTCTATTCGCTGTTGATTCCAGTACTAAAATTGTTATCTTTTTGATTATGTTTTGTAGGGAGAAGAAACCTATGATTTTGACAAACCAAATCCCTTTATTCAAAATGAAGAAGCCTCAACTGTAGCATCTGTCGGCTATAGGTAAGTTACAGTATTTTAATCTTCTTTATGTAATTTTCAGGTATTGTACCATTTGTAGTTCCTGTAGTACATTTGTTATGTAATGATAGACTTTTTACTTCCTTGTATAATTTGAAAACAAGGTATTGAGTTCTGAAGCTTCATGTAATGTATATTACAGATATAGAAAATGGAAGTTAGGTAATGATATAGAGTTAGTAGCTAGATGTGAACATGATGCTGTTATGCACGGTCCAAACGGTGAACTACAATTTATTAATATTAAAGCTCTAAATGAATGGGATAATCGGGTAAGATATTACATATTCCATTTTAATCATCTCATTTGTACTTGTTCTAAGATACTTTGTCAGTTGGAAAGAGAACAGGGATGCTGATTTCACGTTGCATGGCATCCAAAGTCTTCATTTATCAAATCGGGAACAGAAAAGTAGGATGTCAAACTTCACTTTCTTGTGACAATTATTTTTGTTGAGATTGAGAAGTTCTTTTAACTGTTTGATGCAGAATTACACGCTTTCTAGGTATTTTATACATTTTGTAACAGACCTTGTCATGCCTATGGATATAATTACTGATATTAAGTCTATGTTGGGTAGCTACTTTAGTGTAATGACAAATGTATGTTGTAGTTTTCTGGAGGTGTGGAATGGAGATCAAGATTAGATAATCAACGTGGTGCAGTTTTAGCTACAGAATTAAAGAATAACAGTTGTAAGATGGCTAAATGGACTGTTGGTGCTTTACTAGCTGGTTCAGACCAAATCAAATTAGGGTAAGTATATAGTGTAGAAGTCATTGCTCAGTACTTGCTTCAACTGTGATATTGTAGTCTTAAAATACCAAGACCGTAGTCTCCCTTGGGTCAACAACTTTTAAGAAGATGTTATAAATATATTTTGATGTGTTATATTTTGTAGATATGTATCTAGAGTACATGTTAAAGATTCCTCTAAACATGTTATACTAGGAACTCAACAGTTTAAACCTATAGAGTTTGCTAGTCAGATGAATTTAAATATGGAGAATGGTTGGGGTATATTACGATGTATTATAGATACATGTTTGAAATTAAAAGAAGGAAAATATTTGATTATGAAAGATCCCAATAGAGTAAGTTGACAAGCAAGTGTCTTCTTAAGATACATTTTTGTAAGCAAATTCTTGGTTTGATTTATATTTTGAAAAGTGAGTTTGATAGACTGCTAAATAGATTTCTCTGACTATCAATTTAAGAATTTGCAGTCATTTGAATACACTAAAATATCAGTTTTTCAAAAATTTTTGCCCAGGGTTTAGTTGGTTTGCATATATTTGATTTCTGTTTAATAGTAATTGTAATGTTGTATTTGATATTTGTAGCCTGTGGTACGTATTTATGATATACCAGATAATACATTTGAATCTGATGATGATGACAGTGGTAGTGATGGTGATAGTGATTCAGATGGTATGTATCATTCTTTCTCAAAACATTTCTTCCAGTAGATCCTATGAGGGTTCTCTTTAGTTAAGCAAAGTAATTTTGTGCAGTGGAGCACTAAAGTTATTTAAATTATTCAAGTCTAGACTGAATTTATCTTCATTACCATGTAAACTACCTCAGAATTAATTAGATTGTTTGTGGTAATGTTTTGAATCATCAACAGGAGATGAATATATATCTTTGCACAACTTGAACTCATATTCTAAATAAATCTAAATGTGAGATCACTGGCCAAAAAGGTGGGGACTGGTACTGAGTCTAATTTGAACTCTAATAAAATTTCCCAATCGATTTTAATAGGTTGAATAATGTGTAGAAAAGGTATTTTTCCCCTAAAGTTTTGTTAATTTATTCACAAGTTTACACCACTGTTGAATTATTTTTATCACTTTTAACAATGTTTATGTTCAAGTTCATTAATTGTTGAAAAATATTTATTTTTGAAAAATTCCAATATAATGTTGAAAAATGTTCATTTATTGTTCAAAACAAAAAACCTGTTATTTCTCAAAAATGATCATGGTGTATGGTCTTATCATAGTGGTTCGTTGACTGTCCAAAATCTTTCATTTATTACCAAAAACTAAGAAAAAACTATCTTGACTCTGTAGTAATAAGTCGCTAACCAAATCATTTAAAAAGAATCTCGCTATGAGATTAGTAGATTCTCTAGATTCCAAAATTAATATACACATTTGTTTATATTTCAGATGATGATGACGATGATGAAAATTAAACTCAATAATAAAAGACAATGGAAAATAGAAAAAGCTGACCAAACCGTCTTATACACCAATTATTATTATTATTATTGTTCTATTATAGACTATTGTACTATTAATGCTAAATAAATCAAATGTATGGGTTCTTCAATTTCAGATCTGAATCTTTTACAACCCTCTATCTTGTGCCTTGCGGTTAACCCTAATGAAAACTGTGTGAAATATTAAAAACAATTAATTAACCTTCACATTGTGCTCTCAGTACAAGAAATGCCGGTGACGTTCATGTGGCCCATACTTGGCCGTATACCAAGTGCCGGCACCAGCCTATCGAGTGTGAGGGAAGAACTCGGGGGAAGACTGGCTCAATGGAGACGTCCCGGAAGTAATCATTTCGGCGGATATTGTCTTCGCCCCTTACCATCCGAATGGTTACGATTATATGTCGACTCTGTTTAACAGTTTTGATCGGATTTGTTCATTATTGAGATTCCATTTTCCGATGAACGGAATTGGAGTTATTGTCCTTGACATGACAAAAACGTGAAAGCAGTTTCAGATGGTATGTTTACGCACTTTCGGATATCGGATGAGTTCTAATCGTTAGAGATGTTGGTGTTACGCCGTAAGACCACCACATAATGATGAATTCCATGAGAACCGAGCGTTGGATTTCTGAATTCGATCCTTATAAGCGTGTAAAATATTCAGACATATATATTCAAACGCAGTTTGATCATTAAATAGTTGATGAACATAGATATGCTAAGACTCACTCATTTTATTGACCTTGGAAAGTAATTCAAGGTTTTTCCTTATCAAAGATAAGATATATAAGCAGAGTGCCTATCTCTATATTTATTTTAATACACATTTCGAATATGAGGTTTGTAATTCTCTAGCTTTAATAGCGTTTATTATCACGAATCGATTTGTTTGATTACTAGACTAATTTGTTGTAATTAAGTTCAGGTGCCCATCTCGTGATCAAAAATTAATACGACAGACCTTACCGCATCTCGATAACTCGAATTTAATATTTGCTCAGGTCTTCCCTCGATTCCGTCACGTGAAGGAAAATCTGAGCAACTGGGACTCAATCTCATTGTATGTGAGGATGACACATTAGCACCAGAATCGAAACCCCTTGATAGGTGGTGAAAAAGTGCTCTCTGAATTTAAAACCGGCATTCTCCTATCAGCAAAACATTGGGAATTAAATCGAGCAGCGGGTTTTATACCCCCTCCCCCTCATCCATTAGTTGGCTTCAAAGACATTCATAATGACAAACTATTTGAAAGTTACTGCCAAATCCTCATTGCATTGTTCATGGCTTTGCTCGCCATAACCTATTAGGAAAAGTAGCTGGAAGACCTTCCGATAACCTTACAATCTGTCACATACCTCATACGACACTGTTTCAATTCAATTCAAATTTAGGATCTTAAGTAAATTTTAAGTATCATATAAAATTCAAGGTTACCCTTTTTGGTATTATTGGTGAGTGTGATACACATTAAAGCAGACTCTCCAGTAGAGATATCCCGACATTGGGCCGGTGGATTTAATGGTAAATTCTGTATACCAATAACTAAAGAGTTGTCTAGTTGGAAGGTTCATCTGAGATTTGACCAACCTATTGACAGTATTGAGGTACACTTTTCACTAGTCATATCGTGTAGACACCCTTTATACTTGCCTGTTTGCCAGGATACCATAGATTGCTTAAAATGTACATGTACACATAACTATCAGATCATGGCATGATCGCCTTGAATATTTGAATATGAGCTCAATGGTATATTATGACATACTACCGTTGTTACATATTTGTCTTCCTGAACTGCAAATGCTTAATCAATTTGGTCGATGGTCTGCAGCGTACATTTCAGAATGTCTGGCAGTCGCTCTACCCCTAGTCGTTAAGGTTTCCAGTGGATCGTTGTTTTCCAAAGTTATCTGTGAGCATCAACAAGATCACGGAAGATCAACAATAGACCATGAATGACATGAATATGATAATCCACCATTGTAGGTATGGCTAGCAACTGCTACTAAAGTAGGCGACGGAAGAGAGTATATTTTGACCAATAAAGCATGGAATGGTGCTGAACATGTTGGAGATAAGCTGTGTCTTGAATTTATGGGTCATACGAAAGATGATATTGAACCTGGGGCTGTGGTATATTTAAGTGAATTAGAATCAACAGGTGCCACCCATACATTCCCACCACATACTACACCAGTTGTACCAACTACAGGTTAGATCAGCACCCCACATACATTAGAAACATATAGTTTTGTATTTTAATCGAGGTAGTAGGTGTTATTTTTCAGAAATCGCTTTTTCAAGGTGGCATTAAAAATCTTTTCAATGGATCAACAGTTGAAATGGCTTATTTAACCACATTGGTGCTGGGCCAATTAAGAATGGATTTAATTTTAGAACGACCAAATGACGCGCCATTTGTCCATATACGCGCTCCAGTGGACTGGCAATACCATAGTCTTCAAATAAGTTAAAACTCATGTTTTCTTTCAGGTGGTGGAAAACCTACGTTTGATTATTCTAAAGCTCTCGGAAATTCTATATTATTCTATGATGCTCAGAGATCTGGTAAACTACCAGCTAATAACCCAATCAAATGGCGAGGTGATTCAGCTTTGAAAGATGGTAGTGATGTTGGTTTAGACCTCACTGGTGGCTGGTATGACGGTAAGTAGCGTACATATCTTAACCTTGTAAAGATCCAAGAATTGATCCGCAATTATGTCTTGGCATAGTCACAAGGTATCAGCCCCCCAAAAATGTATATAAGAGAAAGAGAAAGTGGACTAGAACATCTTGTATATTGCTAGAACCTGAAAGAAGTTATACAGACGTTGGTTGGGTCTCTTCTTTTGCAAACTTTCCAGTACAAGACGTCCAGTCCGAAGTGAAGCAGAGAAATCAAGACTTGTAATTATTTCAACACTTCAATGTCAAAAAATCTTTCCACTTCTCTCTATCTGCAGCTGGTGATCATGTGAAATTCGGACTGCCTATGGCAGCTAGTACAACCAATTTATTATGGGGATATATTCAATGGTCAGACGCCTACAAGGCCGCTGGATTAACAGACAAATTCTTCGATATGATAAAGTGGCCGTTGGATTATTTTTTGAAATGCTGGATTCCTGCTAAGAATGAATTCTACGTACAGGTATATCAATGGATCGCCCATTCTTAATCATAAGATGTTGACTTGGATCATTCATCAATCTTTTAGCTGAGCTATGTCCAACCTTCAGGAACATCTAAGTTGGTCAAGAAACACCCATTCTGCGGTTTAACGTATTTTGTAATCTGCTTCAAATTTGGACTCTTTGGTCATCCCTTGATTGGTTAACATGTCAGAACTGGTTCAATGATTGAAGATCACGCGTGTATAAATTTGCTGGAAGTCCCTTCAAAACCTCTCGATAGAACCACGTCCCTCTCGTCCATTGTTGGCCGTCGGAGCTGAGCTGATAAAGTTATGCACTGTTCTTTAACCAGTTTATATTGCTGAATATTATAGTAAGCAATATGGACATTGTCCAAAAGGTCATTGATGATTAAAATTGGTGTTTTAGATTGGGGATGGTACACCAGATCATCATTTTTGGGGTCGTGCTGAAGATATGACTATGAAGAGACCAGCATATAAAATAACAGCCAGTAAACCTGGTAGTGATATATCTGGTGATACGGCTGCTTCCTTAGCCGCAGGTTCAATTGCTTTTAGATCTAGAGGTACTTAGAATTCTGCTTTTGAATTTTTTATCATTATATGAAAGACGTAAGAAACCATCTTTATAAAGACCAATAATTGTCATTTAAGAATTTACTTTTAAATCCTGCGGAGATATCTCGACCAGAGAATCTGCTTTTAAGAGTATCACACCCCAGTAATAAACAAGATTAAATAAAACTTCTTTACTTTGCGAATGTACAAATATGTTCATCTATCACTTTTATCTGCAGATCCGGCATATTCCAAGAAGTTGCTCGATGCTTCTAAAAGTTTATATGCATTTGGTAAAAAATATACCGGAATATACAGTCAGAGTGTATCAGCAGCAGCTGCCTTCTATTCGTAAGTGTTGTTGTAAATTTGTTGTTCAGTTTATTCGCTTATGAAATTACTTTATCTAAAGATCTAACGTTTAATAAGAGTGTTTCAACTATAGACAGCAGAATTAGACGATTCAAAATGAGGCACTACAGATCTTAAATTTTGTTATATCCCACTGATTTGTTTCTGTATTTTTATATAACTTATGAACTTTCGAACAGTGGCGTTTCATCATGTGAGGTGGCCGAGCAGGGGCCAAAAAGATTTCTAGTGAACACAGACCATTCTTCCACTATGTAAAATGATACACAACACAAGACACATATTACTAGTAAATGCCACATAGTTACTGGTGTATTTTTGTACAGATCCAGTACATATAAAGATGAGCTATGTATTGGTGCTATTTGGTTGTATAGAGCTACTAATGATTCCAAATACCTTAACGACGCAATAAGCTTTCACGAGAATGCCTGGGCTTGGGCTTTATCCTGGGACGATAAGAAGATAGCTTGTCAGGTTTGTACAGGGGCATTTGGGTATTTTCGTCGAACGTGCTTTTGCATTTAAACATCTTGGGGAGAGGATGGGACTTGGTGGGCAGGTGAATCATCTTATTCCATAGAATCCCTTACAATAAGCTCATGTATAGTTAACGAAATAAGTGCCACTTTGCAGGCGAGTGGGGCATAATAAGCACCTGGCGTCAAATGGTGGCAACAGCGATTGATCACATTTGTCAATGACAAAGTCGACTTGATAATTAAAGTCCAACTAATAAAATAAACGTACATGCAAAAGAAGAAAATTTGGTTAGTAATACTTGAATCTCTAGATTCTTGTATCAAGCGAGTATTTTTGTATAATTCAGATGCTGGTGTATCAGTATACATTAAAAGCTAGCATCAAAGTTGAAGTAGAAGGATTCTTTAACAATTGGTTGCCGGACAGTGGTACAGTTAAATATACACCATGTGGATTTGCCTGGAGAGATAAATGGGGTTCGACTAGATATACTGGTATGTTCCTTAAGCTTGATCAGAAATATTTATATTCTATTTCTAAACTTTGCTGGCCGTAACCATGTCTCAGTAAAACATTATACCACAGTTGTTCGGAACGTACTCAATAAGGTAAGGTACACTGTGAATATTTAGTATTCATCAACAAACCTAAATATGGGGAAAACTATCTTAGAGATAGCGCCTGATATATTGGTACTTTCCTGAGGTATTTGATTGCTTGGTACGCACTGACTCCTTCAACTATGATTAAGCAAGATGTCTTTATTAAATGATTGTTCTAATTTCAGCCAATACTATATTTATATCTCTGGTGGCGGCTGATATGGGTATTGATACACTTAAATACAGACAATGGGCAATCGGTCAGATGGATTATATTTTAGGACAGAATAGTAAATGTTTCAGCTATGCTATTGGATTTGGCAAGAAATATCCCTTAAATCCACATCACAGATCAGCGTAAGTTATATTTGGGGTTTCTTCTGGAACACTGCTTTACACTTTGGAGAGTTTGGGTTGTTCTAAAATTATGTCAATGAAATCTGCTGTGTTTATCTTATTACATCAAATTCAAGATTCTGGTGGTACTTAGTTACGGAGAAATCGCGTTCATTGATGAAAGTATGGTTGTTTTGAAGACATAGAAGTGCTATTGACAACACGATATGATTGACATTTTTTTTGTGAAACAGCATTGCATGATGAAAAATAAAACATGGAACGAATCAAGCATTCAAACTTTCTGTTGTTACTGGAATCTCTGTATTTTCAGATCATGTCCAGCAATACCTAAACCTTGTAGTGAAGATAATCTGCACGTTAAAACACCCAGCCCACATCTTTTAGTGGGAGCATTAGTAGGAGGTCCGGATTCCACCGATGCTTATGTTGACAATAGGGAAGATTACGTCCAGAACGAAGTAGCTTGCGATTACAATGCTGGATTTCAATCGGGTTTAGCAGGTAATATTAATGCTTTCATTCAGATGAGTTGGTAAATATAAGGCTATTGACAAAAGTCAGATATCAGAAAATAAATGAATTTTCACATAATTTTCAAATGTGGATGAAGATGAATTTGATATTAGTTAGGCTACCTCCCTCGATATTTGAAATGTGTTTCAAGTTGTCTAACCTTAGGCTTTTGTTAATACTTTTGGTTACTATCATGATAATATAATAGCCTATCGAATCATACTGAGTTCTTAAATTTTATCATTGTGTTTATATTCAAGTAATTGTAATGTTTCTGTTACCTGATTCCCAGTATTTTTCGGTATTTCAGGTTTGGTTCATCTGATTAATAGCAACAATTATCCTGTGCCACCTACACCAAAATGTCCATGTAAATCACCTTAATACCAAATTACAACTATTTAAGATTTTAACTGTTCGTTTCTGCTTTTTCTATACTATTCATGACCTAAAAAAATAATTATTGTGATGGACTGCGATTTTTGCAACTAACTTATTCACTTGATGAATTTATATACCGACTTGAATGTCATTGAATTGTCTGAAATTGGTCGGATCTATTTGTTGATGGTCTTAAGGAACATGCCCAGGACAGAAATGACGTATACTAGCACCACTGTAAAACTATTATACTCATAGCCAAATACTATATTTTAATATTTACTACTACTTAGCATATATGCTTCAAATCTTCATGACTGTAACCACAAATAATTAAATACCGCCCATCGCTGTCCATGCAAATAATCCGAATTCCTTAAACCTGTCAAATGTTGACAAGAAACATGATATCTGTTTACGGTTTAGTTAGTTATATTTGACTCTCAAAACCAACAACCGTCAACCAAAACAGGTCTTAGAAATATTTAAACTTGAGATTAGTGTGAATTAGTGCAAACGGGTAGGGATTAACAGGATTATGGGATTCCATTATTTGACAAAGACTAAACTTTATATGCTGGATGTGAATACCAATCACATTCCTGCCGTCTCCAACGCTTGGATTTTGTGACGCTAACAAAGGTGCATTCGGTGTCTAATGCTTCTCAGAAAGAAAAAATACATCCAAGCGTTGGAGAGGGCAGGGATGTGATTGGCTGGCAGTGTCATCAAACTGACGAATGTTCAAGAAGGCCGTCGTTAGGCCCTTACTGAAGTGGCTATAACAAAAATTAAAGCTAATAAAAAAACAGAACGAAAATTTGGTCTTTTTTTAATTAGACTGAAAAATCAGGAACAAATCAGATTGACATAGCCCTAAAAAAACAACATGGGCACTGTACGTTTTGGCAAAAACCTGAAAAGAATGTAAAGAATGTAGAATTGTTTCTGAATTTCGTAATATATTAAACTGTAAAGTTGTCGACACAATAAATTATAATAAAACGATTAGTATATTAATCAAGATAAGAACAATTACCATGGAAATGACATTTTAATATTTCATTGTCAAACATCCTAATTGCGTCGTGGGTGGTGGGTTATCTGATTCTTGGTGTTTAAAGGGGGCCATATTTCATATTTTTTGCTCTTACGGACATCCTGGAATTTTAATACCAATCATATTGGAATTTGAATTCCGCTATTGCCCAACCTACTGTTTGGTGGAGGTTTTATCTTTAAAAAAATTAGGAGCAGGTTAGTTTATTTCCATTTTTGTTTACATACCTTATAGTTGAGACCTAATTCCAAAAAGCATTACATTGCTTCGGATCATTGTGCCATAAGAAGTGGGGTTTCGCAGAGGTCTTATATTATAAATGCCCTTCTGTTTAGACCACCTCAACATGCCCCATCTAAAATAAAATACACCTCTGCACTGAATTCTTTCTAGTAATCAAAACAAGCTTCATATTGCAGCAATGGTAAAGGTTAAAATGGCCATTGATTTTAAAGTAGAATGTCTACTCATTGACATAACGGTTAACTCGACACCGTATTGACAAACCAACATTTGATGTTTTCTAAAGAAATATGACATACATTTTACAGATAAAAAGATGAATTGCTTGAAATTGACAAAAATCAAAGGTACAATTGATGTATTTTTATATATATTTCAAGAAGCTGGGCTAATATTTATCTTAGTTCGTCTTCGTGGCTTTCTAGTTATCTAAACGTTTGTGTAGCATTTTCCTCCACCATACAACCAAATTTCAACAATGGTGAAGACGACAAAGAAAATTGGAGAAGTAAACATTTAATAGGATTCCTAAATCCTTCTCGAATGTAAAAAAGACAACTAAATAGGTCGTCCAGTATGATGTTAAATGAGCCTTCAATAGAAGATAAGAATAAAAGTCCTTTAAGATGTTTGCTTTAAATGACGGCAACACTTGTTTTCTCCAGTTATTGTTATTTATGAAAACAAACTAAAAGATATAACTGAATTTAATTGAATGTTTTTGTCTAGAAGAAAATGCTGTTACAGAATCTCAAATAACGAACGAAAAAACATTGCCCAAACATTCATACCGATTGACTATCTCCATAGACAACTATCATGCCCTTTACAATGGCTTATGTGAGAGATCGGAAGACTCAATGGCGCTCGATTGGTGAGTTCTGAAGGTTCAGCCTTTGTTCTTATTCAAGGCGTCAGTCGACCGGTACGAAACCGGATAGATCATATTCAAATTACTTTTTGCACCATTTTGAATTGTTTTACTGAACTTCCGGTTTAATCCATGAATCCCGAACACGCAGAAATCACTAACGCCAACATATGGTCTTATTATTCAGTCAGCTGGAAATCGCACAATATCCACACGAGCGATTGCTTGGTCAAAAATGGGAGATCAGTGCTAATGTCAGCGAATTTGAATTTCCTCATGCAAGTCCATTTCATTCGGTTTGGTTATAAGCTTCTTACCGTTGACTACCCCCAATGCAATCTGATCTGCAACTAAAAGGGCAGGCCTATGCACACACGGGAAACTATGGTACTCATCTAGCTAGGAAATTGTGAGATTATAGATAATGGCAAGATAATTATGTAATGAGTTTAATAGTTTTTTAAACGGTATTTTTATTGCATGTATTGGCCAAGTAGAAATATTCTACATCATGCCATACTGCGTTATCTGTTTTGTACCGTGTAAACTTGAATATATATTTTTTCTTTCAAATTAGTCTTTGATAAAAACTACTTTTGCTCTTGAAAACAAATTGAATTTAGACTCGTTTATTCCAGCAAATACGAACGTTGAAGGTCGGTGCCGAGATGACGGGACTAGCAGCCAGTCGTAAAGCCCTGACGGATGCTACATCTCTTTATGGATCACGAGTTAATCATAAGAAAACTATCTGGCTAATTCTTGTAAATCGTTTTGTTTAGGAAGTTTTATCGTGTGTTTGTTGACGAATTTGCCTATTCTAGAAGTGGTCGTGATGATGGATGGTATTGACACCAGACTAGAGGGTGTGGTCGGGAACTAAGACAGACAGGTCCATCCATAAATCATCAATGAACACATTCGTTACCTCTCTCCTCGACTTTTCTCCCATACACGCTTTTTTACTTCTTACTCGATATATGTTGTTCAATTTACCTTTTAGTTCTTTTCAAGTTGACGGAAATTAGTCTAGTGAAATTAAAGTTTCGTCCTATGTCAACAAAGCGCATTCATACTAAGCTTAGATACATTTTAACATTGACTGGCTTTTCTGTATAGCTGCGATCCCAGGACAGACGAGAATAACTAACGATTTGTAACTACCAGACGTCCGTTTGGTACCTTATTGTGAAAAATTGTAACAAAGTGACAGATTTGTTGATATTGAATACGATTGTAAGGTGGATTACTTGTAACCTGGGAAATATTTTATTGGAATCATTTGTAACTGGATTTGTTAATATATTTCAACTAAGTGTTGGCAAGCAATTATTGTAATATTCTACAGTATTAGATTACAAATTATCAACAGATCCTCGTAGAATTATAGCACCATTTGTATTATTGTGAAGATATACAAGGATATATGATTGCTGGATTGTAATTGATATGTATTTTGTTTAATTCAGATAAAGGCATATAAAAGGTGAGTTTATATATTTATATAACGGCAAAATATTATCTTGATATTCATCAGTATTCTTTGCGATTTATCAAATGAATATTCAAATTATTTTCACATTTTTTAAAGGAAATGTTCCTGTAATTTGGAAATGTTTTGGCTTGTGTAAAAATTAGAATTTTATTTATAATATTCAGATCATACAACGGTTCCAATCACATTGAGGTTTATAACGCGGTTCAAAGCACATTCATGTCTATATTTAATGACACCAAAATTAATTGAACGTTTAAATCACAATAAAATTCTTTAAAATTGTCTAAAAGTCTATTGAACTGTTTAAATCACTTTAAGATTTATTAAACATTTCAAATAAATTCAACATTTATTAAATGATTCAAATCGCATCAAAAACGGGGTTCGTTCGTTTGAGCAGAGGTTAATTGGTCTATGGGCCATAAAGTGTCCTTTTCTCATTATTGTAATGGAAGGTTGTCATTTGGTATCGGTTTTCCGTGTAAAGCCATTGACAACTCCCTTGAAATAGACTTGATTGTTGTCAGGATTTACTTTACATTCGGAAATCTGATGTCTATTGTCAGGAAAACTAGAGTGATATTGCAGGTTAGTTATTCGGTTTACCAGCTGAAACCTGTATCACTTTTCAGTATAGGCACCCGATATCTTGTTCGTTTGTAACTAAGTAATATAACCCTTGTCGATCATGCTGACCTGTAAGGTCTGGAAATTTGAATAGAATCAACCCGTCGTCGCTTCTATTGGCTATAGTGCCACGGTTATCCAACTGTTGATGTATTGGGAGAGGGGTTTTATTTCTGGAAGGATTTTTGGATATAATCTAGTTAAAGCATTCATTTAAATCGTATTATTAGGTGATCGTATGCCTTAAAGTGAAAGTTACTAAGGGTCAGCCGCCTTGATCTTAGAAATTATATTATATATCATTGGTATACTATGGTAGAAAAATGTACATCATAAATATAATAAGATGAAGGGAGTGTGTTTTTATATAAACATTATGATTAATATTGCTGATAATGTTGCATGGAAACAAGATAGAAATTATCTGACATATGTTGATTTCACAGGTTATAAGTCGGTTCAAATCAGAATTGATTAGTGATATCTTTATTCATTTAAACTCTCGTTTGTTATTGTCTACGAGCTGTAGTTTATTATTTATAATAATGATAAGTGACAACCGGAAGTGAAATGATTGTATTAAAACATTATGATATGAAATCTATTATTTTATTTCATCGATTAAAACACAAATCTAAGCATTCTTAAAATTAAATATCTATCGTGGTTGTCTAAATATTAGCAACAAATATAAGTAATAATTT